AGACGTAGATTTTGTTGGATGCAGCGGAAAACTGTACGTGGCATAATGAAAAGATGCGTCTTAAGTAAGTGGGAAAGATTTGGTTCCATTGAAACAAAACAGAACGTTATAACCGAATAGGACACATTTCATATGTGCACATAGAATAACTTTGTCGGCCACCATGTGGGAATATTGATAAATAATATGAAAGAAATAAACCCATTCAATTTAAACAAAAAATTATATAACTACAGATCTGAGAGTAAGGTTTTAGGGTAGATTTGTATTTTTCATACCGGTAAAATTACAAAAATGCTTCAAGACTTTTGATCCTTCATAGGAATAAGTAGTCAGTAACCTCCTTTCTATCGTCGAACTATAAAAAAATGTTTTCTTCCTGACATGAGTTTTCTATTGCTTCCCAATCACCATTCCTCCCGAATAAATCTTTTCCAAATACCTCATTGTCGCCGTTATGTATTAAAGTTACCGCCTCCTAAGAACTTCCCAGAATATAGCAGAGTAATCTTGATACCAGGAACATTTCGGATTTGCTATTGTATTTGCAGACCATTTCAATGTGAATTTGCATTGGCTTGAATTCCGAACGGAACTGACTTCCACCGCAAACGAAAGAACCGGTAATGGAAGTATGGGATGTTTAGATTGAAATTTAATTATAGAGCCTCTGAGTGCGTGAAACACTTTTTTGAAGAATGATCTCATTCCGCAAATAGGATGAACTTCCCTGCGTTTGAGAGGAAGGGAATAGACCGGTTCAAAATGGGAAAGATAAAGCATATTTGCAACTGGTATCAGACTGACCTAGTGATCATGTTGCTACCGGAGGATTCATAAAATGCATAACTGTAAGGTTTAAAGCCAGAATGATGATCAAACAGAAACGAGTGGATTCAGAAGCTGAAGAAAAGGCAATTAAATACATCACATTTTACACATCTTGTGTTACCATAAAAGGTCGTGTCCTCAGGATACATGAAACAAAATGTACAAATCTTTTGTGTGGCAAAATTAATTTTTTAAAACGACGAAAATTCCAACACTGCCTTTGCAGTAGTTATTCTTGTTGTTGTTAGTAATTGTTCATCAATTGGTGCACGATGAAAGCAACTTGAAAACAGCAGAAAGCACCAATGCGCTTGAAAACTATAGGCAGTGGTGGAGACATTAAGAGATAGATAGATAGATAGATAGATAGATAGATAGATAGATAGATAGATAGATAGGTAGATAGAGATACATAGAGAGATAGATAGAAAGACATGTAGATAGAAATTTGATAGATCGATAGATGAGGTTGATTGATTGATTGATTGATTGTTTGATTGATTGATTGATTGATTGATTNGATAGATAGATAGATAGATAGATAGATAGATAGATAGATAGATAGATAGATAGATAGATAGATAGGTAGATAGAGAGGAAGGTAGCTAAATATATATGTGTATAAACATATATATATATATATAAATCGATTGACATATAGATGGGAAGATCAGAAGATAGATAGTCAAGCAGCTAAGTGGGGATTCAAACTACAGGCGTGAGTTTAATTTGGCTGTTAGAAAATGCCGAATTGTCGTCATAAAAAGCAGCTATCCCTCAAACTCAATCTGAAATATTACGGTCAGCTATAGTGGTCCACGATCATTGGCACTTACATGAAGAAAGTTAGTGATTTCACCAATTGAAAGAGATTTCGTTCCATTACACGATGATTTAAAACTTACCTATTGATGAATGATGCATTAATCTGATGCACAACATAGTGCATTAGGTGAGGTCTATGCAGAGAATAGTCTCTTCTGTGCGGTAACCTGGTACCATCGTAGGTGATATCGCCTGATGGTAAATTGTTCTTTATGGTTAATTAATCATAAGCTCGGTGAGACAAGAAACGCAGTTATTTGCGAATTTGACTGAATAATTAAAAAATGCACGTGCCGTTCATTCGGATTGAATCATCATGAAGTAGGAAATACGATAAATCGCGTGCAAGTGGGTTTGAAAATGATCATCCGAATTGAGGAAGTAATCCATTCAATGCCGTTAGAGCAAATGGATGAGTCGACAAGTTTCTGTCAATCTTGCATACCGGGGCTGGTGAACCGATTTTCAGTTTTTCATCCTGCCGAAGTAGATGCGATATTTTGCTTTAGATCGGTTGAAGCCATCAAGATCAAAATTTCAACGGTCAACCGATTCTGTTCCCACCCGAGTCAATTTTGTTCGTTGACTTGTGACCCCGCGGAGTAAATGTACACTGTGACCTACTTTTTTTTGGCTGCACATTTGCCACTCATTCGGTGGATTTACCAAGGCGATATGCATTTGTTGAGGAAAGCGTATTTTTCCACAAATTTCATTTGTAATGTAACCAGTGCATTTCGCGTAGATAGAATCTGGATATGCATCCAAGAAGTCGTTAAAAGCACTGTATTTTTCATGCACCTATGACATACGGAACCTCATTAGGTTCTTTACAATAAGGTGTTCCATTTGTGTTCGATCTAGAATCCGCTGAGAAATGTGGTTTCGTGGATGAGGATCAGTAACGTGATGATTCGTGAATTCATTAGCCATAGTCAAATGGTCTATAGCTCCGTTCAAAGCGGAACAAGTGCTGTTCTCGTACGAGTTCATTAAGCAGGTGCATCCAACTGATGTAATTATATAATAGTGTAAAATGGAAAACTGACCGCTGCTTTAAAAATCTTCTGCAAGCTGCACAGCAATAAATTGTCGAAAATGGAGAACCACTTCAATCATTTTTCTGGCAAAAGTGATTTACGGGTATCCTCATCAAATGACGAATCCCTCCAAATGAAGCTAG